AAGCATAATAAAGTATTACTTTCTCATCTCCTTGGAGTCAATGTTTCACCACTTTAACTGATATATATATAATTATATATACACCTTAACATATAGATAGATAGATAGATAGATAGATAGATAGATAGATAGATAGAGCCTTGCCCCGCTCCTCTGTGTTACAATTAAATACCTGTACCGACACTGAAAAATCTCAGAAATATCATAATTGGTTTTTTTGCATGTGCATTTACATGTTCACATTTGTATAGCACACACATGTGTGCAGGCATATGTGCATGCATGTTCCTGTGTATGTTTGTGAATATGTGCATATATGTGTGTGAAGGTTCAGAGTTCTCCTTCGGAGTCTTTCTTGATAATCTCTGTTTTGTTTTTGTTTTTGTTGTTGTTGTTGTTTGTTCTTAATTTTCTGAGGCTGTCTCTTTCTGAATCTGTAGCCTGCTGATCCCAGCTAGCCTGGCTACCAGCTTGTTTGAGGTCCTCTGTCTCCAGGGTGCTAGGATTACAGGTGGCTGCCATATGTGCCCCAGCCTTTATATGGGTACTGAGTATTCGAATGCTAGTTGTCTTTCTTAGGGTTACTATTGCTGTGACAAAATACCATGACCAAAAAACAAGTTGAGAGGAAAGGGTTTATTGGACTTCATTTCCACGTTGCAGTCCATCATGGAAGGAAGGCAGGACAGAAACTCAAACAGACAGGATCCTGGAGGCAGGAGCTGACACAGAGACTATGGAGGAGTGATGCTTACTGGCTGACTTCCCATGGCTTGCTCAGACTGCTTTCTTATAGAACCCAGGACCACCAGCCCGTGATGGCACCACCCACCATGGGCTGGGCCCTCCCCCATCAATTACTAATTAAGAAAATGCCTTACAGCTGGATCTTATAGAGACATTTTCTCTATAAGGTCCCTTCCCTTCAACTCTAGCTTGTGTCAAGTTGACATAAGACTATCCGACACACTGGTCTTCTCCCGTGTGTGACAAGCACTGTGTGCTGAGATATCCCCATGCCCTCATGATTGTCTGGACTTTCTGTGCACTGTCCTTACTATCCTGTGCTTTTCAACTTCAAGTAGTTCATCGTTGTTTTGGCAGGAAATTGGGAAGAAGGCCATGAGCTTCAGCCAATCTGTGGCTGTAGCGTAGTTCTGTTTGGGACCACCCCTTCCATACTCATCTTCCAATGCCCGCCTCCCTTTTGAGACAGAATCTCACTCTGTAGTCTTGGCTTTCCCAGAACACACTGTGTAAACCAGCCTGGTCTCAAACTCACACAGATCCACCTGTCACCTGTCTTTACCTGTCTTTACCTCCTGAGTGCTAGGATCAAAGACATGCATGACATGCAGTCCCAGTGGCCTGTCTGGAAGGGTGGCAGTCTTGTGGCTCAGTTCTCAATGGATATGGCACCACATTTAGCAGCAGCGTCAGCTTGCTGATAATCCCTGGAATTATAAACAATTTTGTAGCTTTACTTTCCTATGCTTCTGTCTGCAATATCTATACTCTTTTTGGGTTTCATTCATTTCCTCTTCACCTCTCGGCAGTTTTCTAGCCAGGATAGGGCTTTATTAACCTCATTCTCCTATGCACATCTCACATTGTAAAAAGACAGAGAAAAAAAATATCAATAGGAGTTCACTACACTCTGTTGGGACCCCAGCTCCTTATATTTACAGGGACAGTTCTCGGTCCTTAGAGAAATAAGCGCCTGAGTATCTCTAGTGGCACTCTTTTGTTGAGGCCACTGTTTCAGACACTGGATTCTTTAAGTTCTGGGCAGTGACCCAGGGAAGGGATGAGAAAATGTAAGAGGAAAGAAGGCTAGGAACCCTTTCTCAGTCTTCAAGCCTCACCTGCAGCTCTTTGGTTAGACCTCACACACTTAGAAGACTTGGACCAACTCACGGTCTAGATCAGTAGATACCAAAAAAAGGCAGGAGGGGGGATTTGGTCAGCTTCAGACTCTTATCTTTTCTAACCCAGTTGTTTTTATTTACTTTTCAGAGCCCTGGAATTGATTTTTCACCCTCTCGAAATGTAATTTTATTGTAATTTTATTCACTTGTTGGGTGAATGTATGGGACAGGGAGAAAGAGTGTGCACACATGCATATGATACGGCATGCAGGGAGGTCAGAGGACAACTTTTGAGAATCAATTCCCTTTCTGCCTTTATGTGGGCTCCAGAGATTGAGGTTGGGTCACCAGGGGGCACTAAGAGTGCTGTCACCTACTACATCATCTCAGCAGCCCTCAAAGTGAGTTTTCTAGGCGTGTCTCCAGGTTTTATGGCTGCAACAAGAAGGAAAGTATCTCAGTTAGGGGTTCTATTGCTGTGATAAGACACCATGACCAAAAACAAATTGGGGAGGAAATGGTTTATTCCAGCTTACAATCCTCAGGTCCATTGTACAGGAAGAACTAGCCAGGAACCTGAAGGCAGGAACTGAAGCAGAGCAGTGAGGGGGTACTGCTTCCTCACAGCATCCAGGACCACCAGTCCAGGGGTGACGCTGCCCACAGTGAGCTGGGCCCTCCCCTATCGATCAAGAAAACGCCCCACAGGCTTTGGCACAGGCCAATCTGAGGGAGGCACATTCTCCGTCGAGGTCCCCTCTTCCAAAATGATTTAGCTTGTAACAAGCTGACTTAAAACAAGCAGTCAGGATTGTATATGTTTATTTCATCTTACTTGACGTGTCAACCTGGGAATAATTAGAACGGTTATTGAGAACTGTCTGTGAGAACCGTCTGGGAGACCACACAGGGTGGATAAGAACAGGTTGGCAGTGTGTCCTGGAGGGACAGCACCTGTATTTAAATGGGGATGCTTTTTTATAGTGAAATAAAGCGTTGTGACCATTGTGTTTGCTCAGTACATACAAAACAAGAGGCAGGATACATGGCCACCTTGTCTAAATGGTGAATCAGAAAACAACGCTTTGCTCTCACTCTACTGAGTCTCAATGCTCAGCCGCAGTATCTCCTACATAGGAAATCTGTTTTGATTATTCTCTTTGTTTTGTCTAATATGCATGAGGTAAATAACTTTTTGTCATAAATGCAAATCTTCCATCTTCATTGGACCTAGCTACAGGAAAGAGAACATTCTATAAACAAGGACTGGGTATTTCTGCTTTCATGTATGTACAAGTCATGAGACACAGGGAAGCCAAAAGCAGAGAAGGCTCTGAATCCTTGGGAGCACAGTTATCTTGGAACAAGATAAACCTGGCTGCACTGGCCAGAAGAGGTTTCTGAGTCTATGATCTCAGAAAGAGGTTGGCAGGAAACCCAGGAAACCCGGCCATAGCCAGGGCACAGTGGTTCAACAAGTGTGGGTTCCTCCCCACTGGGATCCTTCCCACAAGAAGCTTCCTCCCGGCATAATTTATACCCTTTGGCTCCTCTCTAACTCTGAGATTTCCAGCAAGGAAGCTGCTTAGCGCCAAAGCCACAGTGGTTCTTATGATGTGGTGCTCCTGTGCAGAAGGACCAGAAGAGCATTTCACACAGGCACCAAGCGGCCAGATGGCAGTAGCTGACCCACTCTGCATGTGGATCTCATTCAGTCCCCAGTGGATGAGACTCATGACATGTGAATCAGTTGATGAGGTGCTGTCCTTTACTGCTCCCATGATCAGCCACCCTGTTCTGACAGGGAAGGTGGAGTTCAAAGGTCATAAACATCTGCACCAAACTAGAACCCTATTTTAGCTGCAGATCAACTTATGAGAATCATATTTGCCTTGCTAACCAAAACGATGGGAGGGCCCTTAAGTGCATCACCTTGTTACCAAGGAAGACTTAAACTAAGACCGCTCAGTCAGTGTGCATGCAGAGGGACCACCCTAAGCAGGCAAATGGCTCATACAACGGTATGGTACCCATTCAATTCTTGTAGCTTATCAATGGATGCATGCATTTATCCCCCAGACTCTCAGCTTCACTATTGCTGCCTCTCCAATTTGTAGGCAACTGCTAGTCTCTTCGTTGGACGAATGATCTGTGTCTAATTAGTCCCTACTTGCAGTAATACTTACTCAGGGTAAGATGATCTATTTTTGATTTCTGCATAAAAAGGTCTCTGGCCAAGGAAACAAGAAGAAATTTAAATCAGCTCCATCCTGTCCCTAAATCTAAATCTTGCTCAGACTCCACCCTCCCAGTGGGAGGGCTGTGTCCTCTATGCTATGCACAACTTAGGCGAACTTGATGCAAATTTTTTGACACCGTGGATGTCGACCTTGTATTTCTTTTTTTCTGGAGCTAGTGACTTGTGACAGTACTGAGCAGGGCAGGAAGCACACCTGTCACTCAGTCACAAAGGAAATGGTCACCACTCTACAGGGTACCCTGTTGCTAAGCTGTGACACGGAATGAGTTCACGAAATGCATTTGTGACTCACGATATTTTCTGCCAACAATGGATTTCATGCACATTATCCAACCGCAGGTCTGGAAACACGTCATGCCTCCAAAGGCTCGTTTCCCACAAGGACCCAGGAGATCCTATTTATCTTGTGCTGTTAGTCTCGCCTTTTATGTTTCCCCTCTGTGCTTTAGAGTTGATGAATAAATATGCAGCAAAGATTTCCTTACAGAAAAGCTTTAGATAGTTTCAATCACTCATATCTAATAAAATAAAATCATATTTATCTGATTGTACACATACACACACATACACACACACACACACACACACACACACACACACACACACACAGAGTGCAAAACAGGCATGCAGTGGACAGCCCACGGCCACACAGGAGCAGCTGTCCCAGCTGATTCTGCTCAGGCTACTTGGAGACTCTCAGGGCATCATGTGCTGAGTGCATGCAGAGGTCTGGAGTTGAACACTCAGTCTGTGTCCATTCCAGGAACTCAGACCCTGGACCACAGCTGCTGCTTCGTTCACAGCTTGCTTGATGAGGAGAGAAGGCAAACTCAACTTTCTACCAGCCTGATCCACGCAGCAGGTTCTACCCATCAGCACCTCTTCTGGTGGCTGGAGAGGAGGAGGCTCTGGGCTCCATGGCTGTTCTCTGAGCTGGATGCTCCTCCTGATGGTTTCTCTCTTGCTAGGTCCTTTTCAGGGGGAAAAGCCCTCTGGATAATTCTGAGCCGATTGCACATAAACCTGTTGGAGTTCTTCACTGGCATGTGATAACATATCTGGGTCCAGAACCTGGAACTGGGTTGGACTGATTTCAAGCCTCTCCACGTGACTGTGGGAAGAACCCGAAGAGCCTTTTTGACTAGAAAAGGTAGTGATTCTGGCACTCGGAAGGAAGAGAACTTAATTAAAATTAATTTCAGTGTCTGATCACCCAAGGCAAGGTTCACTGCTGCTTGTAGTTCAAAGACACAGGGTCCGTTGACATAGCTGGGACTCAGGATAAATATTCCTCTTCGGCTTTTCTTAATGATATTCACAATGTCATCTGCATACACTGGAAACAAATTAATGAACGACTTTCAACTGATTCTGTTAAAACTTGAGTCACAACAACTTTGTATCTCCAAGAGATGCCTGGTGGGTTTCTTCTAATTTGGATATTGTTGGGCAAAGAGATAAGGAGAAAAATTCTCTCTGCCCCTTTTATTGTTGCCACTCTGGACTGTTGAAGAGACACACAGATACACCCACAGACTGTCCCTGTATTCCACCTCCCTAAATCACCATCTAAACCGCCTAAATCAGATTGGAACATGACGGAGGGATATGATACATCCCGGGCTACTTGTGGAAGTGTCTGAGGCAGGGAAGGTTAGCAGGCCATTTGAGGCCATGATGCTTCATGGGTGGCATCCAGCTGACCGACCTGCTGCACCCCACGCTGAGAATTTGAGGAGTAGAATTCTAGAAGGTGGGACAACCTTCTGTTTGAGATGAGAGAGATTATTTCCCACAAAGGATCCAGGGAAATCCCTTTGTCCTGGATGGCCTGTCCAGAGCCCTCTATTATTTTATTATTCTCCTGAAAATACATATTTTTAGAAGACAGAGCATGTCTCTGGAACACACTTTTCTGTATTCTTGCCTAAGATGATCTAAGCTCATAAAACAACAACAAAAACCAAACCCAGAAGATCCCAGAGGATGTCTATCACATGGACGGTATGATAGGAAAAGCTTTGAGCTACAGTGGGTCACTCTTTGTGGCCTACTTGGTGTCTTGGCAGGCAAGACCTACCTCCTCCTGGGGTGACATCCCTTTCAAGCAAACACAGAGTGTATCCATATTTGTTTTCTAGCACTTCGGGGAAAAGATTCAGGGCCAAGTGTTCCTCGCTCAGTGATCCAGTGGCTTCACTCTCAGGAAAGCTCCGATTTGCATAGGATATAAAGGCGTCAAACTCCTTCTTGTCTGAGGAAAAAGAACAACACATAGCCTATGCCCTTTTTCTTAACTACCATGGTATGTCCAGATGCTTGGAGCATATGCTAAATGGATAAGAAATAAGATTTGGGATCCTCACAAAAACGAATTAAAAACAAACCCCGCAGATGCATCCATTTTAAAATCACACCACCGAGTGGTTTTGATTGTCCATATAAAGCCCAGTGATTAATTTATGAAGCACCCCTGTGTCTTCTTCGCTGGGGATAGATCAAACAGCTGGGGCCTCCCATGATTGAATCACGTGTGATCGGGAGGGCGCCTTTCTTTACATCTGCAGTGTTTCTGGCTCATTAGTTACACATCAAAGAGGAGTCTGCTCCATTACAGCATGATAATAACCAGAAAGCAAGTTCTGCTAAAACCAGAACTTGTATCCATCCGAGAGATGACGGCACACTTAAAACCATGCACCACAAGCAAGTCAATAATGGGCACATGCATAGTGGAGGTCCTGTAAGATGATAACACTCAGGTAATCCCCATGGCCCAATGCTGCTGTAGCCATCACATTACAGTGCATCCCATTTCTCCCGTATACCATGATGCTGGTGTGGTCCACTATGTGCTGAACATACAGAACTACAGCAGTCCAACCATGCCCAGTGCGTCACACTTGACAGCTGATAGCGCATAACTGTGTGACTGGCCTATATATTTATTGTACTACACTTTTCATTACTGCAGAATACATGCCCACTTCTAAACAGTGTTTGCTCTAAAACACCACCAGCAGCCTCAGAGATCTGGTATTTATCAAGTCTCTTGATTGGATAATTTTTTTCTTCTGCTTAATTGAATGTTGGCTGTATTGCTCATCACAGACCTAGAAATATTAGGGATATATCTGTACATCTACATAAATAGCATATATATGTGTAGTAATAGACTTGCATATGCACACTCTCCAGAGAGCCCACAGCCTGGCATGTGGTAGGCTATACCACCTAGATTTATACAAGTACAGTATATTTTGTTTCTACAAAGGAAAGTAGCCTAGAGGATACATTTGCCATTAAGTGGCACTTGGCAGTACTTGTATCTGAATCTGTGAGTGTAGGGTGAGGTCAGTAGAGGTTCCCCGGTAGGCTGTCAAGGGTTACATGAGGTCATGCATAGGCTGTGTGGGAGTCTCTGACTCTTCCCCAGCTCTTCCCTTCTATTTGAGAAGCTACATTTAAAGAAATCATTTTAGGTCTCTTGTGAGGATCTCTTGTGTTCCTGTAAGGCAGACAAGTTATGAGACATGTTAAAGAACTACCTAGAGCCGGGCGGTGGTGGCTCACACCTTTAATCCCAGCACTTGGGAGGCAGAGCCAGGCAGATCTCTGTGAGTTCGAGGCCAGCCTGGGCAACCAAGTGAGTTCCAGGAGAGGCGCAAAGCTACACAGAGAAACCCTGTCTCGAAAAACAAAAACAAAAACAAAACAAAAAAGAACTACCTAGAAAAGACAGAAAACCCCATAAGTTAACTCACAGGCTTTGGGATGGAGTGCCTGGAGTTTGAAATCCAGCCTATTTCATAACCTCCAGCCACGGTGTTGTTAGCGGTAACTAGTGTCTCAGACTGTTTGGCAGTGTGAGCCCAATATGGATGCCACGAGAGGCCTTAGGGATTGCCAGTCATAAGGAAAACCAAACATCGAGAAAGGGGATACAGATCCAAAGTTCCAGAAGCTGCTTTTTTACTTGATTGCCCATGTAGGAAGGAGGAGGTAAGTGTTGATGTGTTTAAATGTGTAACACACCATGGCGGCCTCTATTCCATCCATAGTCTTGTTAAAAACCCATGGTTTTTCTATAATTCAAAAGATAAACTTATTTAGCAATGAAGTCATGGAATGTGGTGTTAGAGGACCTGCTTATGTCCTTCTGACACTATTTCTTTCTAAATTAAGTGATGTAGTCACAATAAACTCTTAAGCTTTCTTTTTGCGGGCAAACATCTGTCTGACCAGCAGAGGGCGCGAAATCACTGTGTTTGAAAACCCAATTCTGCCGCGCAAATTATTGCGTAGTTAAGTAAAATGACAAAGGACAAATTTGAATATTTCCCGACCAACTGACTCTTCTTCATAAACTCTAGAATCTTAAGGTTTAAAAAAAAAAAAACCATTTTAGTGAAAGAAGTGTAGAATCACCTGGGAAGATTGGTGAGACATTTGTTCCATTCAAATAAAAAGGCTAATTAAACAAACAAAAATTCTGAAAATACTCTTCGCTTAAGGATTTCAAAGGATGTTACCAATAATCAATCTAAAGAAAGCTGTGAGATATGCCCTTTTTCTCCTGTTTTCTTAGATTGGTTCTGGGTGGTTTTTTCTGTTTTCTGGTATCTGGGGTTGAACTCGGACCTGGCATGTTTTTTACTTCCCTTTCTGGATGATGATACTTTCTTCTGTGGAAGCCACAGGCCTCCAGGAGGAGCCTCCCAGGGAGAGAGGTGTTTTTCTCTGGCGCCCAGCAGGAGGCGCTTCTGCTCCAAACAGCAGAATCCTTCACTGAAACTGTAGATATGCTAACCTGAGGTTTTTCCAGGGTCAACAAATGTTAAAGCAGTAATCTAGCCCCACACAACACTGATGAGTATTGTGATCATGTCTTGTGAGTAAATCGACAGCAACTTCATTACTAATAATGGGACTTGTATTTCGTGCCACTTCCCATTCGTTTGGGACAAATCCCTGGCCTGGCATGTCTTATTTTCACATGACATAACCCAAGTGATGGGATTTCCTAAAGCCAGACTACATAGATTTTAGACCAAGATACAGCCATTTCTAATGCTCTGATCTGAAGGTCACGCTTCATCCTCCTCTGCCTCAGGGGGCTGTGAGAATGGCAATGGTCAATACACAGGCAAGGCATGAGCTCCAGTCCTCAAGGGACATCCATTGCTGACCAAACTGAGTTTCTATACACTAAGGTGTCATTCTAAATGCATACCATGCCTAATCTCAGTGAGCTCACACCACTGTCCCCTGCCTGCTGCTGTGACAGTCCTGTTTTATGGATGAGGAACCTAAGGCACGGGACTGCCACTTGTCGTATCACCTCAGGTTGGTTAGCAGCGAGAATACTTTCAAGCCCCACAAATCCCACAAGGTTCCTGTTAAGTAGAATGGACTAGAGGTGTTTCTTCAGTTTCCTCTGGTGTAAAGCCAGAGCTGGACGAAGATATCAAACCTGAGAGATAAGAAGCCAGGCATCAGGCAGTAGCTTCCTCTAACTTCCTCTCTCACATGCTGCTCGGGCCAGCAGGAGGCACATGAAACCACACCTAAGACAACTCTAAGAAAAGGTAGGTAGGAAGTCACGTGTATCTTGTCTCATCACTAGGTCCGAGAATAACGTGTTGGGTGATCTTACCCCTCAGCGTCTCGTCCTTGCTCTTGTAGGCTCGGCACAGCAGGACGATTTCAATCCAGTACCAGTAGAGAAAGGCAGCTGCGACCAAAATGCCCACCAGCATCATGGCTGTGCCAAGGAGGATGTATACAAACACCACTGAGGGAAACAGAGCTGTGAGTAAGTACATCTGGACCAACATGCCCCATTACGCAATAAAATCCCTGTTGCTACCGGCATTTATCTTGACTCTGAGGTCATCTTAAGTCTGGATGGAACTCTCCACAATTCATTTTAGAGAGCCAAGGGGCATGGGAAGTTCCTGGTGGGGTGACCTTCAATACTTAGCCATTTTACTTATTTTTACACCTATGAATGTCTGCACACCTCAATTGCACCTCTCCTATGGCCTGTTATAAATTATCATCTTATATTATCATCCTCAGCTTCACTCCACACCCTCTGTGATTCATCTAATAAATAAGGGATCTAGAGAGAACAGCCACTGTTACCATATACATAGTGAGGGGCCAGCATGAACACTGTCACTCTATGGCTCGAAGATGGTTACACTTGCTTGATTGTGCTACAATCACCCACTCAGTGAGGCGTGAATGACTGATACCAACCTCATCTCTGGACATCTTGTTAAGGGTCAATGTGTCCCTTGGTGGACATTTCTACTAGCGGTTATCATGTTCTCTGGAAGCCAGCAAAGGCAAACAAGCAAGAGAGCAGTGTCTGAACACTGGTCCTGCTGCAGTGGGTGTGGGTGTGGGTGGGGCTGGAGATTCTTGTAGGTACCAGTGGAATGAATGAGAGAATTGGGTGCGTAAGTGAATGAAGAAGTGAAAGGGGTAAATGAATGGGGTGATGGGATGAGTGAACTGTGTGAGTAGAGAGAGAGTTGAGTAAAAGGTGTTTTCATGCACTGCTTAGCAGGTAAGAAGCCTAGGTCAAAATCATGCATGGTCAAGTTCTTAAATGAATTAGCATAGCAAAGTGCTTCAGTGTCTGGATAGTGTTCGCTGCAAACATTGCCTCTCTTCTTTGGGCAAAATGTCCCTCCCCCTTTCAGAAAGAACAGATATCCATCTTTAGGAACAAAGTTCTAGGCTTACCCCCCTCCTTCTTCCTCAGCTGGATGGTCCGTGTTGTGTTCCCGACGGAGTTCTGGGCAAAGCAAACAAACTTTTTGCTGAGATCTCTTTGAGTGACTTCTCTCAGGAAGGCAGTGTGCTCGATGACTCTGTTCTTGTAATTGGATTGAATCCTGGGAAAGGAAGGAAAAAAGGCAGCCCCACTCAGTAACATCAACTGCCCTTCATCCAGCTGTGCTTGGGAGACTGACAAAGAGCCAGTGGGAATTTACCAGAAGACAGTGGAAGAGCAGGAAGAGATGGAGCAGGCTCTTGTTCCTGATCAAGTGATGGACTCTGCAAAGGATTTACACTAAGGAATAAGTTACTTGTGGCCCTCATCTGAACTTTATTCTAAGAATTCCCCCTGGGAATGTGGAATACTAAGAATTTAAGAATAACCTCAGTCTGTAAAGTGTTGGCTTCCCAAGCGTGAAGTTCAATCCCTAGAACCCACATCCAAAGCTAGGCATGGTAACATGTATTTGTAAACCCAGCACTGGGAAGGCAGAAATGAGTGGATCTCTGTAGCTCCCTGACTGGCCAGGCTACCTTAGTCAGCAAAAGTCTGCCCACCCCTCACCCCCACTCCCCCTCACCCCCGCTACCACCACCAAAAAACAGCGTTAATGGCATGAAGCATGAGATTCACCCCTACCCTCCATACTCAGTTACACACATGTGTATACATACCTGCACACACATATGAACACATGCCCACACGCACACACAACTAATTGCTCTTGTCGTTTGCTGGCAGGTACTTTGCTGGGCACCGACTATGGATTCTCTAATCTCTTCCTACCTCACTGAACAAAAACCCTAAGGAGTCAGGATTATGAACATCTTAACTTGGTAGTGCCAGGGACAAGGCTCAGAGGATGGATGAGCAGTACTGGGTCACTATGGTGACACCATCCTGTGGATATGTCTGGTCTCCAGCCTGGCTCCCAGATCTCTGCCAATCTGCCCTGCCCAGAAAATCATGATTCTCCACATTTGTTCAGTTCCTATTGTCTGAAACTGCATCATCCATTTGTCACATTAAGGAACTGTGTTCAAATGGGTATTTTAGGTTACCCTTTTGTGAGTCTACAGTTAGCCCACAAATGTTTCCTGCCTATCCCACGTTGTCACATGCATGTGGCTTCTACCACATCTGTCCCTGACAGTGACCTTGCAAAGTGAAGGTATCCAGTCACAGAATGTACACATAGGTAACGGAGCCTCACAGAGGACCAGGGTCACCTTGCCACTTCCTGGGAAACAGATTGGAACCCTCAGGTGGGTGACTTGGGAGCATGTGCCTGTCATGCTTGTCTTGCACAGACTCTGAGCAGGGTCAATCTAAGATCCAGTGGCTTCTTGCTAAATTTCAGTTTCTTTAGTAAAATCTTTCCTTTATTCTTCATCTGTGGTTTTCAAAGTATACATGTGTTCAGTGAAGTGTTTTAAAAAACTAGAGGGAACTTTCTGCAGATTCTTATCTTGCATCCCATGTAGAAATGAGAGGACACATCTTCTAGTGGCATGCCTAACTGGTCATGATGGGACCCCAGGTCTTTCACTCTAGGACTAGAGACTTGTTTTTTTAGATGTTGGCTGGCTTGTCTCTGAAGGACTACAACTTTCCTTTCAACTGGTCAAGTTTTCTCACCCATAAAATTCCAGGTTTATTTTAGTCACAGACAACAATAAAAGAAGTCTAATAATAATAAGTTTAATAATCATAAAATGCTGCAGCCTGCTGGTATTCTGAGATAGACAGCTCCCTTCTAAGGCTTCACCCCAGTGTAAGCTGCTTTACCAATTCTCTTTTGTCAGAGTCTGTGTTATGGTGCCATTTCCTTAACACACTGGATGAAGGCACAATTGAAGATGGGGGAGGGCAGGAACCACCATCTCCCATTTCTTGAATGTGCTAGTTCTAGTCCAGCACTCTAAGTGAGTGTATCCATCTACTAGTTTATCTTAGTTTTTAAAACAGTAACCTTTCAAACCCCTTTATGAGCTGAGGACATGGGCTAGTGACAGAGTACCTGCTCAGCATACTGAATGTCCCAGCACACAAAACAAAGAAAGAAAGAAAGAAAGAAAGAAAGAAAGAAAGAAAGAAAGAGAGATAGAGAGAGAGAGAGAGGAAGGAAGGAAGGAAAGAAAGAGAGAGAGAGAGAGAGAGAGAGAGAGAGAGAGAGAAAGAAAGAAAGAAAGAAAGAAAGAAAGAAAGAAAGAAGGAAAGAAAGAAGGAAAAAACAGGGAAGAAAGAAAGAGTGAATGAGCTTTGTATGTGGTTGGTTCAGTGGGTAGAGTGCTGGCCTAGCATGCATGCAACTCTGGGCTAGATCCCAAGCACCACATAGAGAAGGTGTGGTGGTATATGCCTGTAATCCCAGCACTTGAGAAGTTCAAGAGTATCCTCATCTACATAGAGAGTTTGAGGCCAGTATGAAACACCCAAGACACTGTCTCAAAAAATTAAATTAAATTAAAAACACTTTAACATCATCGAGGATATTTTAAACCACTGTGCAAACATCATTGTGTGCTTAACACAGGCAAGATGGCTCCAGCATCACTAAGTGATACAGTCTTAGGGGACAATTATTATATATGGTTCCATCACTTAATAACTGCTATGCATACCAAGTTCACTTTATAGTCTCCTCAGAAATGGAGTGCCTGCAGGCTTTAAATTAATATGCTAGATGAGAGATAATAGATACATAGATGATAGATAGATAGATAGATAGATGATAGATACATAGATACATAGGTAGATACATAGATACATACATAGATGAATGATACATAGATGATAGATTGATAGATACATACATAGATGAATGATACATAGATGATAGATTGATAGATACATACATAGATGAATGATACATAGATGATAGATTGATAGATACATACATACATAGATACATAGATACATACATAGATGGATGATACATAGATAGATGATAGATACATAGATACATAATATGTATTTTTATTTTTACCACAACCGTTAACTCTATCTGTTCTAGCAATTTCTAAAGGTTTGAAAGTATCTAGTGTTAGCATTTAAGTATTACCTGGCCAGCCCCTTGGGTGACCTGGCCAATAAGCAGACAGTACTTTGGCTTACTCAGAGTCCTGACAACATCATTCTATGTAGTCCATTTGTGCATTAAAGTCTCCTTTAAGAGCGAACCCCTCCACCCCTTCTCTCTGTCTCTCTGTCTCTGTCTCTGTCTCTCTCTGTCTCTGTCTCTGTCTCTCTCTCTCTCTCTCTCTCTCTTCCCATGAGGCCACATCTGCACCTTTTCTCTTCCCCCTTTCCTCTCTCTTCTTCTCTCCCTCTCTATTATTTTTCTTCTTCCTCTTCTCTCCCCAGCTCTTCTCTCCCCCCTTCCAATAAATCCTCTACATGAGTGCTGTGGGATGGTCTGTATGTCAAATGTGTTGCTGATTGGTCAATAAATAAATCACTGATTGGCCCGTGGCCAGGCAGGAAGTGTAGGCGGGACAAGGAGGAGAATAGAGCTGGGAAGTGGAAGGCTGAGTCGGAGAGACACTGCCAGCCGCCATCAGGACAAGGAAGATGTAAAGTACCGGTAAGCCACAAGCCACGTGACAAGGTATAGATTAATAGAAATGGATTAATTTAAGCTGTAAGAACAGTTAGCAAGAAGCCTGTCACGGCCATACAGTTTGTAACCAATATAAGTCTCTGTGTTTACTTGATCGGGTTTGAGCGGCTTGGGACTGGCGGGTGAGAGAGATTTGTCCTGACTGTGGGCCAGGCAGGAAAACTCTAGCTACACATGAGCACTGTCTACATGGTGTGTCTCTCTCCCACACTCCGTGGGGTCCCTTGGCTCCAACCTGCCGAGACCGCTGCCTGCCATTTTTAAACTATAACATCTAGTTTGGGTTGCAATGACTAAGTTCACCTAGCTTTTTCTTACCTTTTCTCCTCAAATTCTTTGATTTCCTGCTCCTGAGTAGATTCTTTGACAAACCACTTTATTACTGGCTGAAAGTGTCTTTGGAAGCCAAATTGTACTTTGCAGGGTAGCACCAAAGACTTTCCTGAAAATGCAGAGGTCAAGAAAACAGTAAGGAAGCACATCAGAACATTGATGTCGTGGGAAGACCAGAGGCTGCACGGTGATGTAGCCAGGTGTCAGGCAGTGGGTACCAGGAATGGCTAAGCATCAGCACATCCCAGTTAGCAATATACTTCCTGTTATGTTTGTATCTCAAATGCGTAGCTACATCCTTGACACCAGGATTTCACCATCATATCCCTAGGGAAAAGTTGTAGCTCTGTGAATAGCCCAGTCTTTAACATTAGTGATGATGTGTAAGATACATCAAAAAGCTCATTTTACTAATTTGATATTTACACATTGAATGAACATCATGAGGTTACCATGAATGGAAAGTTCTGAAAAAACAAACCCACAGACCTTACGCCAAACCTTCTGCAAGGCCTATTAATGGTTAGAACCTCAATGACTATGGAAAGGTTGGCATACTCCAGGTCCACAGTCTCGTCACAATTTATCTTGGGCCTTTTTTACCCTCCTTAACAGGCATTCCTTGACCACCTCTGTAGCTGACTTAACATCCTTATGACTATTAGGATGTATTAGATTTTTTTTTAGAACGTATTAGTTTGATAGACCACTGACTTCCATCAACCAAAATGCTCAATTGTCATGTGATGGCATCTGGGACTATAGCTGAGGTCTCCCCTCTCCCCATCCCCCCCACCCCCAGTGTATTTGAAAAACGTCTTAACTTATTATTTTGTTTCTTTTTTTCTGTTGCCATGAAACTGTTTCCACATTGGAACATGGACTTGGGGTAACCCAAATCTATGTTCCCCGGGTCACAGTCCCTCATATCTGGCTCCAGAATAAACTGTCTCTTGTCACCTTTGAGGTGAGAGGTGTACTTTCCTTCCAACATTGCTATGGCATGTAGCTTAGGGAGGAGATTATTTAGACTCTCAGCTGTCTTCTGCATACTGCACCATGGGTGAGCCATGAATGTTACTGGACCACCCTTTGCCTACCCCCCTGTGAGGATTAGGATTGTCCTCCTCTTGGAACTGACTTCTGGACGAATGGGTAAGGAATCCATTTGAAAGCTCCTCTTTGGATCTTTTCCCACCAGCAGCACTTTAAAATTCACTGGTACCGTCCACAACTCGGCAGAATATTTTTAACGGACTGTTTTTACTTCGGTCCGTTTGTGGTTTTCCTCTTCACCACTATTTCTAGCCCCAGAATGGGCCACTACCGCCACCTACTGACCCTATAGTGCAGTAACAACTTGTTTACATTTCTTGGTACGAAACTAAATCTTTCATTGGCATTTGAAATGGTCAGCATGGCACCGAAACACCACAATTTGCTTTCAAATTCAAAATTTCTACTTGGCTGTGTGTAGAGTAATAAGAGGTTGACTTCGACAAAAATAAAAGGCAATCAGATGAAGGTCAATTTCTCCTCTCCCCAGAAGAAGGCACCATTTTGGAATATATTTGAGCAAGAGTTGCAGGGCTGTAATTTTCCTAAAGAATAGCCCAAGTGTCATATTCATAAGAGTTAATGCTAACTTTGTAAATTCATACACATAACATAAGTGGAAATATATGCACATATACGCATATGTATATGCGTTTTGGTGGGAAGAATATGAAACCTGTTCTTCTTGTTTAGTTCTCTAGAATATATTTCCTCACTCTATCGCAATGGGAGATCAGCATGTGACAGTGAGGGGCAGCTCTAATGACTGGGACTCAGAAGGGTAATAGAAACCTTGTACGGTGACAAAACTAGTTGGGACCAAGTCAGAGTTCACAGCCAATGCTCTTACTTGAAAGTCTGATCACCCTTCATGTCACACTTTGGTCTATTCCCTGGAGCACAGGGGTCATTCAGGTATGGTAATAACAGGCAGCTTACCAAGCTCTACTTCCAGAGTGTCTGTGATGGGATCCAGAATGTCTGGTTTCAGGTTGGTGTCCTTAACTGAAAGAGGAAAACAAAAATCATCCTTTGCATTAAGAAGTCTAGAGGCCTGTTTGCTGGAGGTTTGGGAGTATTAGCTCAACACCGATTTAAGTTTTTAGTGCTCTGTTCATTTGTTTGTTCATTTTACCCAGCATGCAAGAATCTGGGAATTGAGACTTCCACTAAGAAAGATGCTCTTCGGGGCTGGAGTGATAGCTCTGCCAGTACAGGGCTGGCAACACAGCCCAGGGATCTGAGTTTGATCCATAGAACCCACAAAATAAACCAAAAATGGGCATGGTGCACATGCTTGTAATTCTAGGGTGAGGAGATAGAGCCAGACACATAGCTGGGGCTCGCTGGCTGGCCAGCCTGGCCCACATGGCAAGTTACAGGGTAGTGTGAAACTCTGTGTCAACAAAAATGATGCATTATACCTGAGACATAAAACCCCAAGTTTGTACTCTGGCCTACACACACACACACACACACACACACCCAAGTGCCCACACCCACACTTGAGACTTAAGCCTCCATCTGTGTCAGCTGCAAGAAGACTTCTTCTTGTTGCCATTTGGCTGAGTCATCAGCCAAGAGGGACAACCTGCCCAAGGAACTGAGATTCAAAACTCTCCAGCCCACAACCTTAAAACTCATGGTTTAGCTTAGAATGAAAGGGCATCTAACCTCTGATTTTCCTTTGCCTTTTTCTTTCCTGCCACAGAGTTTCAAAGGTGCCTCCATTGTTCTGCTTTCTTCTAAAGCTATTCTACCACCAGTAAAAGTGAAGGTCTCTGCGGGCAACGTCTTCAATCCTCACTTCTCATTGGCTTCCTCATCTACCCCATCTCCCTTCGCCATCAGCGCCCACACTCCTCACCCCGTGCTCCTCCTGACAGTCTTGACCTCCAAAGGCGTTTTGCTAGCACACCATGAACTTCTCCCCATGCATCTTTCATGGAGTTCTCACTCCTCTGCTCTCTTTCCACATGTTGGAAATACCCCAGGACTCAGTCCCAGGCCCCCTCTTAACACTTGACCATACTCACACTCCCATCTCCAGCCCCAACTTCTCCATCATTCACCTAAGTACCCACCTCTTCACTGCAACGTTATGACTGAGGTCCTTCCACATTACATCTCCTGCTTAGACCTCCTCCTTCTCTTTGTCCTTCATGCTTATTAAACAGGGCTAGTATTTACTGACTTACCCCCTCAGAAAACTAGAATCTCTGTTTTCTCTTCATTTGTTTTGTAAAACACATCCTGTTCTGTTGACTCATAAACTCCACTCCCCCTACCTCCTGAGGTATCTTTTGATACTGTCCATCAAGCTTGCTGATCCCCCCTACCTCCACCTTGCCCAATATCAGAAGACAACACAACCCTAACTCTCATCTGCCGTGGGGTGTTTTGTATGCTGTGAATATGTGTTGCTCTGATTAGTTGATAAATAAAAAGCTGATGGGCCAGTAGCCAGGCAGGAAGTATAGGCAGGGTAAACAGACAAGGAGAATTCTGGGAACAAGAAGGCTGAGTCAGGAGATGCCAGCCTGCTGTCCAGGAAACAGCATGTAATGGCACACAGGTAAAGCCACAGAACATGTGGCAACATATAGATTAACAGAAATGGGCTGAGTTTAAATGTAAGTACTAGTCAATGGTAGGCCTGAGCTAATGACTGAGCAGTTTTAATTAATATAGGTCTCTGTGTGTTTACTTGGATCTGAGCAGCTGTGGACCAGGTGGGACACAGGAAAACTCCAGCTATACTCATCTTCGGCTTTTCCTATTCCCAGGCTCTGAATTCCCATAAAAGCATCACCTATGTATTTCTAGACACATCCCTTTCAGTTCATGCCCTTTGTTACGTCCCTACTAGCAATTCATAATATCTCTCCTGCCTCCATACTTACTCTCAAAAATATTATTTCTTCATGTTAGACCTACCCTGGATACAAATCCATTCATAATGAATTACAGTACTTGAGTGGTTCCCTATAGTCCCTTGGATAAAACTCCAAACTCTAAACTTGTCAGAAGTGGTAATGCATGCCTATGTTCCCAACATTAAGGAGGCTGAGGCAAAAGATAACAAGTTTGAGGCCAGCTTAGGCTATTTGTGAATTACAGGCTAGCCTGATATACACAAGGAGACCTTGTCTCGAAAAAGAAAACAAATGAACAACAACAACAACAACAACAAAATTTCCACATATTGAGGAATGAAATAAAAACTGGAAACTAAATAGCTTAGAGTATGAAGTGGGCCCTGCTCTCAGAGTCCCACCCCCCACTCCCCACTCCCACCCCACTCCCATTCTCTGATCTTCTCTCCCTGATCTGTATCCTGTTTCCTCATGATTCCTGATGTCAATGGTGCTTTCGCCTCTGCCAGAATGGCACCACCTACCCTTCTCTTTCCAGTGGAGTGAATGCCATTGTTCACTCTTCTTTTCCCAGAGGTCTTGCTTGGATTTGCTTCACCAATGCTGGACCTGGTGGACCTTAGACACACCCACTGCCCCTTCTTCTCCTTCTACACTGGGTGGTGACCTCCTGCTTTCTGTCTCTCTGACCCATAAAATAGTCAGTTCTTAGAGGTCGGAGAAAGTGTCCGGGCACTAATTTTTAATCCAAAGTTACCAGGGAAGCTTGGTATCTCTTCTGTAGGAATGTGGGGAGGAACCCTTAAACGAGAAGGAGAAGGTACAAAGACGGACGAGACAGGAATGACGGGCATGGGTGCGACAGACCTTCAAGTGAAAGACGAAAGTAAATTCCATCACTGAGAATTTAGGGGCTGGTGGATGACTGAGTAAAAGAATATTTACACATCACTTGCCCTTGCCAGAGAAAGTGATTCTGGCATGGTCTGCAACTGGAACTTCTCTCTCTCTCTCTTTTTTTTTTTTTTTTTTTTTTTGGTTTTTCGAGACAGGGTTTCTCTGTGTAGCTTTGCGCCTTTCCTGGAACTCACTCTGTAGCCCAGGCTGGCCTCGAACTCACGGAGATCCGCCTGCCTCTGCCTCCCGAGTGCTGGGATTAAAGGTGTGCGCCACCACCGCCCGGCTGGAACTTCTCTCTTAACACGCACTCTCTTATGCAATAAAGCCATGGGAAGAGCAAGGACCAGGAAATAAGCAGAAGTGTCTCCATCTTAATGCACTCCGACTGGACTGCATCTTGCATCAAGAAAACCAGAAGTAAACTTCATGAATGTTTTCACTGAGAACTGAGTCAACTGCACTGTTGCTCTTTGGCACAAGCATGAATGACTAATTCTGTTACGTTTTAACCCCGGAAGCCAAGGCTGAATTACTTAAAACTAACATTTAGTTGTGCTGCTATTTGTAGATCTGGTAAAAAAAAAAAATGACTCAATGGAAGAGCTGTAGCAGTCTCAATCCAAAAGGGTAACAAATCCAGGATGAGGAGACATTTAACTTCTGTGTTAGTCAGGAAAGAATAAATTAGGAACAAACACTACCTGATACCAATCAAAGTGTCCCATACCCCCCACCCAATATTATTTAGGAATATTGAAGTTTTTTTCATCCTTAATAAGGAGTACAAACTGGCAAACATTGACTTAGTATAATAGTGTGTATTTAAGATGTAAAAGGCAATATTGTATTTATCAATGGATGCATACGTGTGTGGGAAAAGCACAAACGATGAATGCAAGGCAGCTAGATCAGTGGTTCCCAACCTGTGGGTCTCTGTTCTTTCGGGGTCAAATGACTCTTTCAGAGGTCACCTAAGACCATCCGAAAACACCGATATTTACATTACAATTCCTAACAGTGGCAAAGTTACACTTATGAAGTATCAATGAAATGATTTTGTAGTTGAGGGACACCACAACATGAGGAACTGTATTAAAGGGTCACACATTAGGAAGGTTGAGAACCACTGGGCTAGTCTATAATCTATGGATACTTCAGGGGAAGGGAATGGGACACAGTCTCAAGCTGCACCAGCAATGTTCCTTTTCTTTTATAAAAGAACAATATTTTAAACAAGTGGAAAAAACATTAACACATTTTAAACAGGCCCACATATATCTCTTCATGTTTCAAGTATGAAATATCTAATGCATATTTAAATTATGAAATATCTAATGAATATTTAAATTTATTGCAAGAATAAACCAGAGAGAAAAAAATAGATATCCCAGCTTGTAACAGTATGAACATGACCCAGAATTGAGCCCTTTTGTGGGACTTGACCCCGGTTGATGGAAGCACCAGTGTATTCCAACATGCAACGCTTTAAAGGTTGCCAGCGGGTGAATATCTCTTTTCTTCTCTAAAGGGAAATAATTACTTAACCAAAGGAAGATGATTTTCACTGCTCAGCCAGAGTTCAGAAAAAGCCTCACTTACCAATGGTTCTCACTTGAACCACAGCTCGGACTGTCCAAGAACTCACATTGTCCGACTGAGTGTAATCACACACATACAAGCCCTGGTGATGATCATAGATGGCACCCAACTTAATGATATTGTTCTTATACTCAGGCAGGAGCCTTCCATCCTAATCCAAAAGACAAGAATTAATCACCTTTCTGCAACCTCAGAATTTTTATTAATATTCATTTCACACATAAGAAAAGCTTCACAGATTTGAAGCAGGTGAAAATAGGTCAGTTTGAAAACCAGGTATCCCATAGGATGAGGATGCCATAATCCATACTGTAGTATAAGAGTCTGAGGTCACACAAGAAGCATTTCCTAACATTGTAAAGAAAACTGCCTCCAATCAGCTTACAAAGAGCTACTGATTGAGTGTTTGCTAGAGCATAACTCAGGGCCCAAGAGTATTCTAGAATATCCAGTTTTCTCAGGAATGATGCCTAACTTAATCATAACTAAGTTATACGCACACATGCTTGAGAATGGCAATGTGTGTGTGCGCGCGTGCATGTGTACACTTGGGGAAAACTTGTAGGTTTTCAGTAAAAGCAATATATAAATTATTCTCCTTCAGTAAATTTAATTTGAATAGAAGAGCCAGGCATGGTGGCACACACCTTTGATCCCAGCACTCAGGAGGCAGAGGCAGATGGATCTCTGAGTTCAAGGCCAGTCTGGTCTACAGAGGGAGTTCCAGGGCAGCCAGGGCTACAAAGAGAAACCCTGTCTTCAAAATCAAAAATAAACAAAGATTTATTTTGAATATTAGAATAAATTATAGGGCTGGAGAGATGGCTCAGAGATTAAGAACACTGGCTGTTCTTCCAGAGGTCTTGAGTTCAATTCCCAGCAACCACATGGTGGCTCACAACCATCTATAATGAGATCTGGTGCCCTCTTCTGGCCTGCAGGTATACATGCAGACAGAACACTGTATACATAATAAATAAATCTTAAAAAAAATAAAAATAAAAAATAATTAAAAAAAAGAATAAATTATAAATAAAATATACTAAATAAATAAACTGGACTACATAATAATTGCCGAGAACCAATACAGAGAATGCTAAGAAATCATCATGTGACTCTGACCTCAAACAAGAAGCCGTCTCTCAGAATCCCTCCGTGGCTGCATTTGGCCTTTCCGATGATGTCTGTGGTTCCTCACAAACCGATCTGGTCTCATTCTCCGCTATGACCCCTTCACACACCTTTCTTTCCCTGAGGAGTCCTGCTCTATGGGATCCCTGGATTCGCAAATCCTCCACTGCTTTCCCAGAGCACAAGCTCCAGCTCCAGCCACAGCTCCAACAGGACTCAGCTTTTGGGAACAAAATCATCGCTTGCTCCCGGGAGAATTGCCACTTCACATATCCAGGATCTTGGAGGCAAACAGCCATTACTGGCACTACCATTTTACAGTTAAGTATGTGATGGGCCGTATCCTTGTCTATAGTGGTTGAATGCTGTCATCGCTTCTAGGCAGCTAATAAATCCTGGGTACATGGAAAGGAATAAACACGAATCCCTTCTCTCAGCAGACTCCACGCCCTCCAGGCCCTGAGTCTGCCTTTTCTATCACACCATCCAGAGTGCTCAGGGAACACTTGTCAGCATTTCTCAGCTTACACAAAACAGGGCTGCTTCCTGGAGTCCCTGCAGAGTTATGAAGAATACAGAGGAAGCAGCTCAGGGGAAGGGCCACTTTAGGATGACATAAAGTGTCAAGTGAAGTGGGGGTGTGGGAGAAGAGGCCAAGGTGGACTCTGAATGCGTTTGATCTTTGTTTCTCTAGTAAATAGCTCTGCTAAGGATGTGCGCATTGAGGAACGCACAATGCTAGAAAGGGTTTCAAACAGGAGAATCGTGTAATAGGACATTTTGAGAAGAGTGACTAGCAGCTGGCTATGGAGATCCTGGAGCCTGAAGCACAGACTACTTCATGCCACCTTCATATCACAAGGGGTTAGGACACAGCAGGGGCTCAGTCAATGTCTGTGGAAGGATTGGTTATCACCGCCCTAACTCCTGCAGCCTACCTCACAGATGATGTTTCAGTGGTACATGACCTTCCAGTTTCCCATGAGTACCAAGAACAGATCTCTTACAGTTATAATCAAAAGAAAAGAGATAATAGAAATGATAAAATGGCGAGAATCTGTTTACTACAGAGATTGCAGAGTTCTCTCTTAGGTATGATCCTTTATGCTTATGGTTGGATCACAAACCTTCCAGATACCACTGCCTCACACATCAGCCCACCTTCAGTGACCTTCAATATTTCTCATCTCTCAGCTCTCCCAAAAGGGCCGAACATTCCTGCTACCTCCTGGTGGAGGGCACACCACCTCCCTCAGAAATCTTTAGGAGTGGACACCTCACTTTGCCTTTGGAGACCGGTGGCTCTTTCTTCAGAAGCTTGAGTGTGGTCTGTGGCGTCGCCCCCTTAGTAAAGCGCTCACCCAAAGAACAATTTGTCTCAGTGTGACTCTCTCTTGACCCACCTCTGCTCTTCTCCATGTAACCCATCACTTGTCCAAAGGACTTGGGATTTGCGCAGATTGTGTTTCTTTCATTTTACAAATGAGAAGAAAAATACTTTAGAGTTTAATGAAAGCCAGCATGAGAATGCCTATTAAATGAGAGCACGGAATAGCAAACATAAGTTTTCTGACTAAAAGTTTCATTTACTGATTGAGGAATTTCCCTTCCATTGGCCTTCACACAGGCAGAAGCAGGAATCCCCCCCCCCCCCCCCCGCCCGCCCCAAACATACACATCTGCTAGTGTCTGGGCCAGTTCCTGTGACCCAACAAAGAACTTTCCCTAAGGTGTCAAAGACCCGGAGTGGGCCACACTAGTCATTAGGAGTAGCTTCAAGACAGGATGAAGAGCCAGGGCAAGAGGCAGAGACAGGCAGCTTAAATATTTATCAGATGGTGACAAAGATAAAGAACACTCCAGCCAGACGCTAAGAGCAAGAAAGGAAGTCCAGAGATAAATCTATTAAGAGCATACAAAGAACAGAACGTAGAGTGTGGGCATGCAGGAAGTCTGCTGAGAAACTGATGGAGGGTCTCAGCGCACTATCACTAAGACTTTAGTCAACCCACTGAGGAGGGTGGAGGGTAACCGAGTAGACCTCTTCCTCATTTTGTAGATGGTGAGCATGGCTTAGTGTGTGTGTGTGTGTGTGTGTGTGTGTGTGTGTGTGTGTGTGTGTGTGTGTGTGTGTGTTGTTAAAAGGCTTTGTGAAATAGAACTCAAAAGAAATGTCAAAGAAAAAGAAACCGGAAAGAAGAAGCACATGCAGAGAGATAGGAAAATCATCAGATGATTCAATCACATGCAAGTCTGGCAGGAAAGAGAGGCAGAGGCCTCCACTCAAAGTACTGTGTTATGCTCAGAGGTGAAATATGAGAAAACAAAAATACAGAGGAGAAACATCCATAGTGTGATCTGTGTGAAGAGTTGGGAGTCCTGGAAAGAACAAGTAAGAAACGTGAAGACACTAAAACAGATGTGTAGGGTACGTGTAAGGAATAAACACGAATCCCTTCTCTCAGCAGACTCCACGCCCTCCAGGCCCTGAGTCATTCCAAAGTCATTCTTACTAAGAGGGCAATCGTTGAGATTTTTTAATGTACTATCCTGAAGTTTTACTACCAGACAGCATAGCACTAGGGAGTACTCCAAAACTGTAGGTACCCTAGAAATGGTGCTCTGTCAAGTCAGGCAACACCAGAGTGCCGACCTGAGCTTCCTCCACCCATTTTCCTTGATGAACTTCAGATGGTTTCTTACTGTTAACTCATAATCACATCTGGATTTGAGCACATCATTATCTTTGCTATCTATGATTGAATCTGTTTTTACTTTCTATAAGTTGATAAATACCCTGAATACATTTTAAGCCAGAAAAAAAATCTAAAATATTATGATTGTCTCTTTAACTGGTCCCTTATCAAAGCATTAGATTATTCTTCTTCTTCTGTGAAAATGTCCCCTACCTTCATTTTATTTCCATGGCTGCTTCTGTGGTTCAGAATGCACACAAGGAAAGTTCAAACAAGTCAGCAGGGCCCCAGTCCCCAAACCTCATGAGCAACCCATGTTTTTTATTTCCAATCCAGTAGAGTTTATACCGTGCAAGAACCCTGCTTCTCTTGCATTGAGCAATCTGTTAATCTTTCACTGATTAGACTTCTTGCTGTTCTAGTTCTGATAGAAAATGTTAATCTTTCTTAGTAAGTACCATCGTACAATCTCTTGCACCAATCACCTGGCAATGCTAAACTTATTCTTCCATCATGTGGTGACATTTCTTTTAATATAGGCTAGGAAATTGGTAAACCAGAAAATTTTAATGACGGGTCCAATGTCAGCCCCTAGCCAAAGTACTGAGTAAATTATTAAACAGATGGTTAATGAGCAGTTGGAAAGGAGGTAGTGGCTACTATCAGCCAGCTTGTATTCACTAACTACCACCATACGAAACGCATCTCATTTTCCTGTATAATTGAAAATGTAGAGTAGAGGCTCAAGGGACTACAGCAGACAAGTTCTACCTTGACTCTAGAGTGTGATTTGGAAAATATTTTCATGATTTCCCTGTTAAACACAAAGATCCTTATGAGCTGAACGATAGGCCATGTGGGTGCCTTTTCAGATAATTGAACAGCAATACCCCCAAGTGATGGCAATGGGCAGCTAGAAGGGTCCCTCCAGAACCTACAGCTGAGAACTCTATAGTACAAGCATGCTCTGCAGTTTTACACTGCCTTAAGAATCACACCCCCTCCATACACACACACTACACACACTTTTTTTTTTTTTTTACCTTGTGGATTTTGCTTCCATATTACAGCTTAGGATTTTGTATCTTTAAGAGATTTCTGTGTGTGCCAGTGTGTGTGTGTGTCTGCATCTATATGTGTTTCTTGTGCTTTTTTCTTTGGCTCTTTTTTTCCTGTGTGTTTGTTTGTTTGCTGTTTTGTCTTACTTTGTTTTGCTGGTGCTGGGGAGGCTGTGAATGTGTTGCTCTGACTGATTGATAAATAAAACGCTGATCGGCCAGTAGCCAGGCAGGAAGCATAGGAGAGGTGGGACAAGCAGAAAAGAGAATTCTGGGAAGTGGAAGACTGAAGGAGGAGACGCCAGCCTGCCGTCCAGGGAGCAGCAGGTAAAAGCAGCAGGTAAAGCCACGGGAGACGTGGCGACGTATAGATTAACAGAAATGGGCTGAGTATAAGTGTAAGAGCTAGTCAGTGGTAGGCCTGAGCTAATGGCCGAGCAGTTTAATTAATATGAGCTTCTGAGTGATTATTTTATAAGTGGTTGTGGGGTCCGTGGGGCTGGACAAGACGGGAGAAAACTCCAGCTACATGCTGGTTTGGTTTTGTATTTCCCAGGTTGTTTTCTAATGAGAGAGAAAAAAGAAAGGGTGTGTATGTGGGTGGGTGGTGAGGTGGGGAAAACCTAGGAGGAGCTGGGTGTGGGGAAACCATGATCAGAATACATTGTATGTAAAAAAAAAAAAAATTTCTGCCGGGCGGTGGTGGCGCACGCCTTTAATCCCAGCACTCGGGAGGCAGAGCCAGGCGGATCTCTGTGAGTTCGAGGCCAGCCTGGACTACCAAGTGAGTTCCAGGAAAGGCGCAAAGCTACACAGAGAAACCCTGTCTCGAAAAACCAAAAAAAAAAAAAAAAAAAAAAAATTTCTAATAAAAAATGTAACTATTAAAAAAAGAATCATGTGCCCATGTTTATGTTCTCTCTAAGCTTCAAAACTCTGAGAATGATGGCTAATACACTGGGCTACAAAATTATAAAATCAAAATTCCAATTTCTTAACACACAGAATAAAGAGCTAAAACTACTGTATTAGAATCAAACAGGAGTAAATGTGCAGTTAGGAACATGAGTTACAAACTCTAATCCTAGCCACACAATTGAGAATGCTCCTCAAATAGCCTGGCTGTAGTTCTTATGAAAAAAGCTAACTTTCCACCATAGAGTGACCCCACACTCTAGAGTTATCGAAAAGCTGAAGGAATTGCTAGCAGTATCACTATTCTGTTCAGAAGAAGGAATGGGTCCCTCCTCTTTCAGCATCCACACTGCCCAGCAAGTGGACAGCTGTATTTAAAGCTGCCCAGGAATGTGGGGAAATGTTTGCAGTGAGAGCAACTGAATGTGCCAATAGATCAACCTTGAAAACAGCTTAAAACTATAATTGAAGTTATCCTTTATTGTCCCTATTTAGAATCACTTTAACTTATAAGTCTGGCCAGTCTCAGCCTGCTCACCATCTCTCCAGGGTAGCTCACACAATACCTAGAGATTCCAGTCCCTGGGAGAGCTAAAACAAACGGAAGTGAGAAGGGGAAGTGGCAGATCTTCCATGAAACACAGGAGTGAGTGAGAACCAATCCCACACCCATGCACGTCAGCACTGCAGCCAACCAACCTGGCCCTGGTAAGGGTGACTTAAGACACCAACAGGGATTTTAGCTTCATGCTCCGGTCCTACTAACTGGAGGTCACAACAGTCCCAAAGCCATCCTGATGTTCAAGGCCATTTCTAAAGAAACTCTTCCGCTGTCCTTTATTGTAATTCTTCATTGTGTCAAAGAATTGCTTAGCCTAAGATCATCAAAACATGCTAACTTTTTAAATTCAAGTGCCTTTCATTTAAGGAGTCAGTTTTATTAAGGACATTTTTCTTTTCATTGTATTTCTGGGAATTAGACAAAAATGAAGAGAAAATAACAGGTACTTTATTTGAATTCTGAATTTTTGATCATTAAATCATTAAGAACATGCAAGTACAGTGTGCTCAACCAGGCCCCAGTGCTCTCCTGAAACCTGCTCCAAGCAGGGAAGCAAAGTACTGGTGCGCAGAAGCCCTGCTTAGCCCTAGCAATGGAGCAGTCATCAATCCAACCATCACTATTTTAGTTAACCTTGGCCCAGGGACATGGCCAAGTATACACTTGCTGTGGAGCGCAGCCTCTGCCTTTACTCACCTTGAGTATCTGGGCTGCAACCCAAAGATGCCACTAAACCCTGCAGCCTATCACAGAGTCCTGCTCAACACAGATTCCAAACAACAGCACTTTCCTGCCAGGAAGGATAGTCCAACTGATCGCAGACATCCAGAACGGCTAGCTTGTCTGACTGCAGAGTCCAGCCAATTATCTCAACAGAGCATGGAGTGAGTTAGCAATTCCCTTCAATCTGAGAGGACAGGTGTTGTCTCAGCCTTTCCTGAGAATCCAACTTAAGGCCAGGTTCTCTGAAGTTATTATTCTAGCCCCATCCAGAATCCCAGGCTAGACCATATCTTGAAGATCTGTCACCAACATAAAGGACAGAACAGTGTCATTTCCTCCAGTGTGCAGTCAGCAATGCAAAGGCATAAAAATTATGAAAAACCAGGGCATACAATACTATAAAGGAAGTGAATAAAATTCCAACAACAGAGATCTATTTGTGTAAAGGATGAGCAAAAAAACACTCATAGCAGCTTTAAATTTGAAGAACTGCAAGAAAATACAGATAGGAAAAACAGAAGTTGAAAGCCATTCCTAACAATATTAGAAGTTGTGCCAGGTGGTGGCGGCGCATGCCTTTAATCCCAGCACTCGGGAGGCAGAGGCAGGTGGATCTCTGTGAGTTTGAGGCTAGCCTGGTCTACAAAGTGAGTTCCAGGAAAGGCGCAAAGCTACACAGAGAAACCCTGTCTCAAAGAAAACAAAACAAAACAAAAAAACCAATATTAGAAGTTGGAAAAATAAATGAAATGATTCTTAAATGAAAATTCATAAATAAAGAATATATTCACAAGCAAAAATTCCTGAAGATGTTTAACAGTGGACTTGATCAGCAAAGGTGAGAACTGGGGAATCTCGAGATCTCAAGAGTAGAATATCTGAAATCACCCAGCAGAAGAGCAAGGAGAGAGGAGAGTCAGCAATAATGAAAAGGCCTATGGGAGTTATGGAGTACCATGAGGAGAACTAAGCTTTGCTCAACAGAAGTTTCAAAAGTACCAAAGAGCACATCCAGAGAAGTAACAGCTAATACTTTCCCAAATCAAGAGAAGGACCACACTTTTCTAATCAAATTCAATCCATGGAGAAATTTCTTTAGATATATCATAAATTGCCCAAAGTGAAACGTAAGGAAAAATTACTAAAAGCAGCAAGAGTTGATACATATCACATTAGAGGGTATATGAATATATACATGAATATATAGCTATCAGCAGAATTCTGAGCAGAAATCCTGCAAGTCAGAAAGGAGGGACATAATGTATTCAGAAGTCACTATGTGCAGTAGTCTGAAAATGACTCCACAGGCTCATATATCTGAAAGCTTGACCCCTAGTTGGTGAAACTGTTTGGGAAAGATTAAGAGGTGTGGCCTTATTGGAGGAGGTGTGTCACAGATAGGGGCTCTGTTGGGTGAGCATTCATGTGTGGGTAAGCACTTGGAAAAACTATAGCACAATGAAAACATGGAATGTTTTTGTTGTGTTTGCTGACCAGTTTACTCAACAGCTTTATAAACTTTCTCTTGTGCCCTTTCTCTTACCACTCACTCAGTCACTCCCACAAGCTCTGCACAAGTCACTTGTCACGTGGTGACGTGGTGATGTGCTGTGTTTTCCTCACCATCCTCCCCTTTAGAAACTCCACACCTCTGTTTCTTTTAACACTTCTTCAAGACTTGCTTGTAGGAAGCTGCCTTCCTCTTCCTTAGCAATGCCCTTTATTCTCTATGACAATATAAATGAATTCACCTGTCCAGAATTCAAAGATGCCTGTTCACACCTTCCCACAAGTGTGGCATCCTCACATGTTGGACTTTTCCCTGATATTGATCAAAAGGGTAGCTCTATCAGTCTGAATGTCAAGCTGGACTCTACATAGGGTCAAAACTACTTTAGAATATAGGTCTTTTGCATAGGCACAGACCAGTCTTTCTAGAGCTCTGGGCCTCAGGCTCTCTACCTCATGTTTCTATAAGGAGCCTATAATGACAGTGCTCTTACACTAGTTTTAGAAAATCCATTCATACCTGGTACCAGGTCATCTCTGGACTCTGTACATCACTTTGGCAGCTGAGACTAGGACAATAAATGGAGCCAGTGCTACCAAGAAATAGGTATTGCTCATTCTCTACTGGTTTCCCACAGGATGCATTTCTCTGAGGCTTAAGTTCTAAGATGGTCTTGACACAACAAGCCATATCCTGGGGACTCCTGGAGATAGAGAAGGTTCTGTTAGCACTTGTCTAGGTAGCAGAGAATTTGAGATTATTTTCAGACTGAGATGCCTTTGGAACATACCTAATCCTGGGTCTACAGATATATGACCGAACGTTGTTCATCTGTGAGGCCAACACATGCAACATGCCTTTGTTCTGCACATGAGAAGAGTTCCTACGGATCTCCTCTAATGGACCTCCACTCTGAGGTTGCATGTACCACTGGACATCAGATAGGTCCTGATTACCGCTGCAAGGTATGTGGGCAGGGCCTTGTGTTGGTGACCGTTGACTTATATGGGAGAATTGTGACTTCCGAAGCTCTGGCAAATCACAAAACAGGACAAAATCCTCTGCACCCTTCACAGAATACGTCCACACAAGTCTTTTGGTGGCACAAGCTGAAAATTATAGTAAACAAAACAACACAAAGAAACATGTTAGAAGGTGGAATTCTCACTAACGTTTACAAATAGGCTCGGTATAACAAAGGATTCAGCTCTCTATTCTATCTTGTGAAGTATGTCCATTTCACAGATGAAAATGACTCATATTCTGATTCCCTCCTGATGGGCTTGTGTCTTAACTCTTCAGATGTCCCCACTGAATGCCCAGCTGTGGTCACTGGGATCCCCCAACTGTATGTGGTATCTGCTGAAAGCAGTCCTGATCACAAACTCTCCTCCTACTCCTTTTAACAGCGAGAAGACGCTGTGTACTAATAGGTCAGGCTGCTGATGTACCAGATTATCTGTCACTTTAGACTTTGGCCACAAGACTCACAATGTTAATACGCAAAGCAAAACCCCCTACCTGAAGGATCAAATCCCGCGGTCTGCTCTCCAGCCACAAAGCAGAGAAGCACCCAGCCCAAACAGAGCATGATTCTTCTTCGCGCCTGTCATGGCTTCAGTGACTTCTCATTGCCAGTGTGGAGTGTGTGGAGACTCGAAGCTTTTTCCCTGGCATCCTCTTCACTTTTGAAATAGGAAATGGAGAAATCAAAACCCATGACCAAGCCTCAAGACATACGGGAAAAATCTGAAAGGGCACATCCCATCCAAACAGGCTTTCAGAAGCCCAGAGTCTGCCTGGGTATTTTTCAGGGGCATAAAGCAGCTTCCTCCATGTGTCATCTCTTGTGTCTTCAGAGGATGAACTCCTCACATGCAGAGTTCCCCGAGGCCCTCACATGAGCCCTGGAGTATCTTCTAATACCACCTCTCTTCATGGAATTCTTCTTCTTTCTTTTTTATTATAATGCTCCCATCTACCCATCTATGGTGTATGTTTCTATCAGTAATTTGGAAAAATAATGATTTTTTCCCCTGAAAACATGGCCTGGTTTATATAAAAATGACAGGTTCTCCTCAGTTAGGGAAGCTGGTGATTGACCTGCTATCTATAAAATCTGAGAGTATATACATGGTACTAAACACTAGTTAAAAACAAAAACTTTTCGATAAATAAGGGTAGAAACTTGTGACGTGAAGATGTCACTATTGATCCTCTCAGATATAAAAGTAGAGAGCGTGTGTCCATAAAATGGAAAATCAGACCTGTGCTGGGTTCATAATGTTTGCCTCCTCGGTAGAGAGAGTGACCTTGAGAACTTTCAAATAACTTATAAACAATGAGAGCTAGGGACTTGGAAAGCGTAAATTTGTCAAGTGTTCAATTTTGAGCAGAAAATAAGATATTTCGTTATAGGGCAGTATTGTCTATGCTGACATTGAAAATGAACAAAATTTGGAGGATAGACTATATTCAAATGTCAAATCTGCCCAGCAATTGAGATGATTATATATTTGGTGTGGCTACTAAGAGATGGGCAACCAGAGTAAGAGGGTAAAAAATAAAATCTCAGGATGAAAAAACAGTAGGGACCTCAGGGATAAAACAATAGGCAAGAACCTGCTACATGTGATATGGTCAATGAGAAAAGTCAGGGGAGCAAATATGAGCCCTTTCATTCAAACAGAAGGTCAGAAAACGGGGGGGGGGGTTATGGGGAAGCACAGAGAGGATGATGGGACAATGGGAGAGCCAGAAATAGAATGATAAAGAAAGGGAGGGGTAGTATACATCAGTGTCAGTAGTTGTAGTTCCCCAGTCGGAGGGAAGGCAACATCAGCCTTATTCAAAGGTTAAGCCAGGAAGCCCTGGGCTGAAGATAGTTCTTCAAGACTTCAAGAGCTGTTCAAGACAGCTCACAGTTCTTGCAAAGACTCCAATTTACTTGGGAGTTTTGGTGAGATGGTGACCCCTCCTGAGGAGAAGGTCCTTAGTGGAAAGGAGGCCCATGGTGTTGTGTTGTTATCCCACTAAGTACTAGGAAGCTGTAGCTAGATAGATCTTAAAAAGAGAACTTACTGTTAAAGGTTGAGCTACCCACAGAACATGATCACAAGGAAGAATCACGAGTCATGGAGCCTGGAATTCATTTGCCACCTTCTCCGGATGGAAGATACTTGTGCAAGGCAGTTGTGGAGAGAATGAGGAATGCATACAGACTTGCTGAGAAGTGTAGGGGGTTGGAGGCTGGCCTCAGGCAGTAAAAGGGATAGTAACATACAGGGGATCTCACTTTCTCTTCCTGGAAGCTGATCTTATCTCCTCAAGGTTAATTGTATAGTCTGATAGCCCCAAGCTTGAAGTTAGTCATAGGAGCCAGTTATCTGCTACAAGGTTCATTGTTGGCAGGTCTCTGAGACTCCAGGAATAGATATGACTTCCACAGGCTTGTCTCTTTAGCAAGGCATGTAATGCTGCGTGGGTTTGAAAAGCACAGAGCCTGGTATCATGTACAGGAGTCAATGTTTGTTTGTTTCTCTTACCTTCAATGTGCTTGAGGGTGTGGAAGAAAGTGCCCAGCACATGGACTGTAGGAATGTATCATCTCAGACTCCCGCTACCCCAAACAGAGAAGTTCCCAAATGGAAGACAACTCTGGTGGATGCTGGACATTTGGATAGTTCAAATTCAGCACTATCTTAAATGGTAGGATACATAGGAGGCCCAAATTCATCTGAGCCTCTTTTTCCTTTCCTATAGACTCTGATTTCAGAAGTTGTTCCAACACGTCATCATTTTTTATGCCACTCATGATCCATTTTTTCTTTTTATTAAACTTTTAGTAGTATTTTAACTCTATTTCTTAAAGAGTTTTAATATTTCTATCCTCCTCATAATTACCTAAATCTATTCATGCATTATTCCTTTACTGTGTGATCAAATTCATTTTTTACTCACTTGTACTTTCCTCTCCTTTTGCATAATGTTCTCAGATCTTTTTGTTTAACTTTGTATAACTTTCTTCCCCTTTCTTCTCACTCTTTCCTTGCTGTCTTGCCTTACTTCTTTCATTTGCTATTTTTACTTTTGTGTAAAATAATAATTGGCTTCATACCATATTCTACATTAATATTGTGCCATTTTGTGTTCTATGGTTATTGCTGGTGTAGTAATTTGTTTTCATTGATTTTAAGTGTATGGCTACACTTTTCTCTGCTTTGTGGTTTGTTTACTCCTCTTTGAATGGTCCTAGGGAGACTTCACCTCAGGAGATCCTCAAATAAAACCAAAAGAGAGATCTAAACCAAAAAATTAGCAAATTACAACAGAGAAACTCAATAAACATGACTAGGTATTATTACACACCCGAGTAATGATAACATCTCAGTTACTAAACATAAGACCAATGAAATGATTGACATGCTGGACAAATAATTCAAAAGTCAGTGTGTAAAAATAATCAATTACTTCAAAGAGGAAACAAACACTAAAATGAAGTAATAAATTCAGAATGCAGACAAGAAAGTGAACCTTGCAAAAAGAGAAAGTGGAGATAGGTAAGACATTCAGAAAAAAATCAAGGTTTTGGGAAAAAATACAGAAATGAAAAACTCAGTAAAATTTTGGTAGTAGAAATCATAGCCAGTAGACCAAATGAAGCAGAATATCAGAGGTAGAAGACAAGGAAATACGGCACTCAGGCATTAGCAGAGTAGAAATATATAGTGTACAACAAGATACAGAAAACATTCACAAAAATTGGAAAAAAACAGTTGCTAATTACTATAAAGGAAAGGACATGTAAGTCCAAGACATATTTAGAACCCCAGACAGACCGAAGAATGAGTCACAACATTGGATACACTGGAGTCAAAATGGCAAAGTTCAAAAGAAAGAAACAATATTAAAAGCTGCAAAAGAAAAGTTACCAACTTGTTATTAAGGCAAATATACCAGAAAAATATTGAATCTCAGTATAAACTCTGAAGGAAAGTATGTGATGATGTATCACAAGCAGTGAAAGGGGGTACATGGCAATAGAAATTACCACTTTCAGTACATTTATCTTAAAATCAGGAAGAAATAAAACAAGCCAAGAGAAGCACACTGGAAAGTAACTCGTGACTTCTAGATCATCATTGTGGAAGACACTTAGAGGGATCCTACATGTTAGAAGGAACAATGAGTCTTAATAATGAAAACACACACAGGAAAGAATAAATTTCATGAGAAGAACAAATAGACAAAGGAGAATTAGGAATGGCTCAGCTGATAGCTCAGCAGTTAAGAACACTGACTGCTCTTCTAGAGGACCCGGGTTCAATTCCCAGCATCTATATGGCAGCTCACAACTGTCTGTAACTCCAGTTCAAGAGAATCTGGCACCCTCACACAGTCATACATGCAGGCAAAACATCAATGCATATAAAATAAAAATAAATCTGAGAGAGAGAGAGAGAGAGAGAGAGAGAGAGAGAAATGGCTCAGTCATTTCCAGTTCAGCAAACCAACTAATCTCTAACACAAAAGAGGAGAAAAACAATTAAATCAACAGGAAAACAATCAACAATAGCATAAGAGTCAACAAATCATTTTCAATAATAACCCTAAGTGAAAATGGTTTTAATTTGCTAATTAAATCACTCAAACTGGATGAAGAGATTAAAAAGTAGGAGCCAATTATTTGTTATCTCAAAAAACACTCCTGTATTAGCTGGGTTTTTTTGTTTTAGTTTTTGTTTGTTTTTTTTTTTTTCTGTGATAAAACACCATGACCAAGGCAATATACAGAAGAGTTTATTTGAGCTTATGGCCCCAGAGGGTTAGAGTCCACAGTGGCAGAGTGAAATATGATGGCAGGAACAGGAAGCTGGGGGCCCACATCTTAAACTATAAGCACAAAGCAGAGAACATAAACTGGGAATGGCACAAATCTTCAAACACTCAACGACATACTTCCTCCAACAAGACCACATCTCCTAAACCTACCAGAGCACCACCATCAACTGAGGATCAAAGAGTCAAATGTCTGAGTTGGTATCTCATGCAAACCACCTCACTGGCAAAGACCACACACAGACTGAAGGTGAGACAATAAAAGTCAATGTTTCAGGCCAATTGAAGCCAAAAACAAACGGGAGTAGTTACATCTGATGAAGTAGGCACCATTGCCATAATGAGAAAATATAAAGAAAGTTAATGCACATTAATAAAGAAAGTGATTCATCATGAAAATAGAATTACTGTAGATGTGCAGAACATTGGGGTACCAAATTTCATTTTAAAAAATTACTGGACATACAGAAACAGACTCAATTACAAGAAAAGAGAATTATTTGAACATCCCATTTTCATCAATACTAGATCATCCAGTATTGGATGATATAAAACATCAACAAACAAACCTTGGCATTAACCTGCAAGGGCTTAGTAGACATCTATAGATTATTCCATCTAAAAGCTTCAGAATATACAGTATTCTCAGCAGTTATAGTAGTTACCACCATTGCTGTTGGCCACATAACAACACCAGAACAAACCCATTTTGAATGGTCCATTTACATGGAACAACACTACAAGCTCTTATCT